AGTTCATCTCAATACTTTGTTATATATCCTTTGTTGGCAATAACAGAGGTCAAACGTTTCCTGTAAGTCTTCACAAGGTTGGCACACACTGTTGCTGGTATGTTGGCCCATTCCTTCATGCAGATCTCCTCTAGAGCAGTGATGTTTTGGGGCTGTCGCTGGGCAACATGGACTTTCAACTCCTTCCAAAGGTTTTCTGTGGGGTTGAGATCTGGAGACTGGCTAGGCCACTCCAGGACCTTGAAATGCTTCTTACGAAGCCACTCCTTCGTTGCCCGGGTGGCATGTTTGGGATCATTGTCATGTTGGAAGACCCAGCCACGTTTCATCTTCAATGCCCTTGCTGATGGAAGGAGGTTTGCACTCAAAATCTCACGATACATGGCCCCATTCATCCTGTCCTGTACATGGATCAGTCGTCCTGGTCCCTTTGCGGAGAAACAGCCTCAAAGCATGATGTCGCCACCCCCATGCTTCACAGTAGGTATGGTGTTCTTTGGATGCAACTCAGCATTCTCTCTCCTCCAAACACGACGAGTTGTGTTTCTACCAAACAGTTCTATTTTGGTTTCATCTGACCATATGACATTCTCCCAATCCTCTTCTGGATCATCCAAATGCTCTCTAAAAAAACTTCAGACGGGCCCGGACATGTACTGGCTTAAGCAGGGGGACACGTCTGGTACTGCAGGATCTGAGCCCCTGTCGGCATAGTGTGTTACTGATGGTAGCCTTTGTTACATTGGTCCCAGCTCTCTGCAGGTCATTCAATAGGCCCCCCCGTGTGGTCCTGGGATTTTTGCTCACCGTTCTTGTGATCATTTTGACCCCATGGGGTGAGATCTTGCATGGAGCCCCAGATCGAGGGAGATTATCAGTGGTCTTGTATGTCTTCCATTTTCTAATTATTGCTCCCACAGTTGATTTGTTCACACCAAGCTGCTTGTCTATTGCAGATTCAGTCTTCCCAGCCTGGTGCAGGTCTACAATTTTGTTTCTGGTGTCCTTCGACAGCTCTTTGGTCTGCACTATAGTGGAGTTTGGAGTGTGACTGTTTGAGGTTGTGGACAGGTGTCTTTTATACTGATAACAAGTTCAAACAGGTGCCATTGATACAGGTAATGTGCAGGACAGAGGAGCCTCTTAAAGAAGAAGGTACAGGTCTGTGAGAGCCAGAAATCTTGCTTGTTTTAGGTGACCAAATACTTAATTTCCGCCATAATTTGCAAATAAATTCTTTCCAAATCAGCCAATGTGATTGTCTGGATTTTTTTCTCATTTTGTCTCTCATAGTTGAGGTCTACCTATGATGCCAATTACAGGCCTCTCTCATCTTTTTAAGTGGGAGAACTCGCACAATTGGTGGCTGACTAAATACTATTTTGCCCCACTGTATATAGCGCCGTCAATTTACGTAGCGCTTTACACATATATAATGTACATTCACATCAGTCCCTAACCCTCAAGGGGTGTACAATCTAAGGTCCCTAACTTACATTCATACATACACATACTAGGGCCAATTTAGACAGGAGCCAATTATCCTACCAGTATATCTTTGGAGTGTGGGAGGAAACCGGAGTACCCGGAGGAAACCCACACAGGCACAGGGAGAGCATGCAACTCCAGGCAGGTGGTGCTGTGGCTGGGATTTGAACCAACAACCCTAGTACTGCCAGGCGGAAGTGCTAACCATTTAGCCACTGTGCTGCCCCGCAGATACACTGATCTGTTCAGTTGAAATTACCCTGTCAGCTTTCAATAACAGAAATTATTCAGGGCCTGTTTTATTTGATCCATAAATCACATTAAGGTTCTATTCACACTTGTGCAACATGTCATGCAACAATGGACACAGAAAGATGCATGACAAGTCGCAGCATTGTTTTCAATGGCACCTGCTCAGATCTATGCAATTTAAAGTCGCAGTAACTTTGAAAAGGTTTCTGCACTACTTTGATGCAACTTTGATGCCACTTGAGTGCCATAGAGTGTAAAGTCACATCAAAATCATATTAAAAGTCACACTCCGAAGTCACATTGGAAATCAGAGCCTAAAGGCCAAGTTCACCTTTGAAAAAAATAATAAATGCATATGTTTTTGCATCCTGCAAAGCATGGCACCTGCAATCAGTGAATCGCGGTTGAATGTCCAGCTCCTGCAGACTTTTTCTCCAGCTCTTTGCCCAGATGAATAGGAGATGAATAGGAGAGCTGTCCAGGTAGATGGCTGTAGGTAGACAAGTCTCTAGTTCATCTCCATAGCTGTAGAGCTGTGCTTGAACACTGTAGTGGAGGCACATTTCTGGATGGATTGATTAAGGACAGCCCAGGAGATTGGCAGAGGGAAGTGGCACCATTATTTATTTATTTTTAATTTATTTTTAATTTATAAATTCTTTATTATTCATGGAATTTGGCAATGTGATACATAGCAGTACAGAATATCATTGTCTAGATGAGGAATCAGACCACAAGAACATGCATAGTGCAACCAGCAGCACAGAACATACAGATGTATGAAGAGCAAGTGCCGCAAGACATAACGTAAGCTGCGTGGTGTGTCTGGATCTATTCTTACGCAAAGGTCTGTGTGGGGCACTTACTAGGTAGGAGTGGGGGTGGATGGAAGCCATTCTGAGTTTCTTGTACGTTTATTTATTTTTTATTATTATTATTATTTATTTATTACAGCACTTTACATGTATTATAGATTCACAACAGCCCCTGCCCCAAACGAGCTTACAATTTATGGTCCCTAACTCACATTCATACATACACGCACTAGGGCCAATTTAGACAGGAGCCAATTAATCTACCAGCATGTCTTTGGAGTGTGGGAGGAAACCCACGCAGCACAGGGAGAACATGCAAAGTTTAGGCAGGTAGTGCTGTGGTTGGGATTAAAACCAACAACCCTAGTGCTGCAAGGCGGAAGTGCTAACCAACTGTACTTAAAGCGGAGTTCCACCCAAAAGGGGAAGTTCTGCTTTAAAGATTGGTCCCCCACTCCCGATTAAGGATTGGCACCTTTGGGGAGTGGGGGGGGGGGGTACCCAAATTTGACAGGAGTTGTCCTCCTACCCTCCCTCCCCGAAGACTTGTGGGACATGTGGCCATTCGGGAAGTGCATGCGCAGTGGGTACCCAACTGTGACGCCACAAGCTGTCACAGCTGGGTGCCCACACTGAAGATACTGGCGCCTGGAATACAGGACGACCGGTAAAACGGGCTGCAGTGGGGGCAACGCGGGATCGTGGGACAGGCGAGTGGCTGTTTTTTTAAAAGTCAGCAGCTACAGTTTTTGTTACAGAGTGAGTGGAACTCCGCTTTAAAGAGGAACTTTGTTCTAGAAAAAAAAAAAAATTAAACATCAGCAGCTGCAAATACCATAGATGCTGACATTTAATAAACATGCATTTACCAGTCCAGGAATCAAGTACTGTCCTCATCCAGACCGGTTCTTCGCTGGTCTTGGGTCCCCAGTGCCTCCAGCTGTGACTTCCTGGAGCTTAACAGCCGGCTGCCCACTGGGCATGATTGAGACGTTCTGCACTTTCTAAATGGTCCCACAGTCTCCTGGGATCTGTGATGTGTTTCGGGAAGTTGAAGGAAAGGGGTGGGGCGATCTTCTGCCTGGTTCGCATAGATAAGCTGAGCAGAAGTGAGAGCTGGTTCCTGCTAGAAATAGGTACCTGTTCCCTTTAAAAACAAAATCCAAAAGTAGGAAAGGAGGAGGGGAGGAGGAGAAAAAGCGGGACTTCCCTTTTTAGGTGAAGTTTCACTTTAAATCCCACATAGATATTTGTTACCTGTTGTAATAAAGATACAGCTATAATATTATATCTGCATAAAAATCAGTTCCTATCTGCTCACCATTATTTCTTCTTGAAAATACAACAATATCCCAGTTTTATTGCCATATGAAAACAAATACACATCCAAATATGCATACATGTCAAAATACATTAGCAATCCATCAAACAGTAGGAATGTTACATTCTTCCAAGATTCATGACATATCTATCATACATCCAACCACTGTATGGAAATACCGATATAAACATATCGAAGTTAAATATGTGGTGATTAGTATCACATTCGCATAAAAGCTTTTGTTACATTTGTAAACATGAATCCATTAACCAAAGAAAAGAAAATAACCCCCCTCCCCCCCACTTCAAGAAAAAGAAAAACTAGCCGGGATAGCACTTTTCCACCAAAAAAAAAAAAATAAAATACATAATATGTCTGGGGCTCATCACACATCTCAGCTCTAAATACTGTCAGAGCACCAAAAAACCCCCCAAAAAAATCATATTCATCCTTCAAGAATCATCCGGTACCGTTTCCCTGGAATCCACCCACCGGGACCATATCTTTCTGGATTTTCCTGCACACCCCTTTGCTTCATATGTCATCTCATGCATCTGAAGATCTACCAATTTGGAACTTTATAGGTACCAATACACAATACTAGGTTATATAATTCTTAAGTTTATTTGCTCTCCAAAAAAATATTCATAAAATTATTAAGCTATCACAGACTATTTAAACACAGCCTGGTTTTTTGCATCCCTTTTATCTCTTTGTCCCACCTGCATAGTATCATATATCCCCGGTTTATTTAAGAATTTCCAAGAATCTTCAATATGCATAGTGGGGGAAAAAAGATATTCTCCTTTCTCAGGATATTAATGGGGTATGTATAGTTTTCAATATAACATCAAGGTTATGCCAACCATTTTTAAAAGAACATGCATAAATGAATGCTGCCCGGGAAATGTTTACCCCAGTCACCCATAGCCAGCCAGCAAAGCCTTATGGGATAACAAGGACATCCACAGAATTGTGAAAAAGTCCTATGTAGATAATTCAGCGTGTATAAAGTTCTGAAAATTCCTTGTACGTTGGCTTCAGTCATGTGTCCAAGAACGTTTAAAAAAAAGAAACAGGATCCTTCTACGTTATTTCTTTAAAATGCTCTTTTTTTGTACTAGAAATATAACAATGACTGGTGGATTGGCCGAGCGGTTCGGGAGGGTTGTGAGGTGGGATTCATCCCAAGCCCCGTGAAGCTGGAACACATGCGAATGTTGCAGGAACAGAAGATGCGACAGAGCCGGCTTAGTACCAGGTGACTGCAGTACATACTGCATACAGTACATACTGTTCATACTGTTAGTGTATGTGATTTTCTTCCTACCTCTCTGTCATTCACACAAGTTTCCCTTTATCCAGTGTATTCTCCTTTACTACCTCACTATTTCCTCTTCTCCTTATCTTCCCTCGCAGTAAATCCATTGGAAACTCCAGTAGTTTAGGTGATGTAGTCAGTGGTACACGGAGACCAACCCCACCAGCTACAGGTGAGGAATCCAATCCTGTCTTTCTCTTTTATAGACAGAACATCATGTGCTATCTATCTCCATTTCTTGCTAATTGTTCTTTACATGTATAAAACACAAAGTGGACACCAGTGACAGTTATCCGAAGCTGGGTTTAACTGTAAAATCAATGGGATGTCTAAAAATGTGATTAATTTTATGAATGGATACCAGTTTTTTTGTGTGATCTCAGATCAAATCAAAGTTTATTTAAATCCTCTGATCATTGGTGTCATTAAGGTTTAATGTATCGCATGAGGATTGCAGCCATGTTTTCAAAACACATATGAAAGCCATTTATATATTTGTTTTCAATATTTTAAGCTGGTGGCACTGCTGCTTTCTTTATCCAAATCTTATTTTACTGCTTGGTGTTATAATCTTTTCTAAAGTATTAAGTACGGTATGTCATGCTCATTGATGATTAACGAACACCTTCTTTGAAGTCCTGAAAAAAAAGTTTTCGACAACATTTACACAAGCTTTCTCTTTAGGCATTACAACATTTAACCTCATCTAAAATGAAATGAATAATTTAGCCATGGTTAGTAATCATTAGGGAGCATAGATACTATGGTGAAAAGCAACTAGGTTCTTTGCTGTTGGTTATAGCATTTACATATTTTTTAGATTTTTTTTTTCTTGTTGAATCTTTATTGTTTTTTAAAAAATGACATGACAGAGAACGGGGCTCACAAATGCCTAAGAATAGTAGTAACAGGCATAAGGCTGGTTTTAATAAAAAAATTAGTTGACAAAAATACAAGATTTGCAATGGGCAGATAAGTCATCAAGGATAGGTTGTGCCAAAGTGATCAACTGTGACTTACCAATTAATGGGTGAAACCAGGTAAAGGAACTTGGCTATATATTGTGGATAGGACCATAATGGCTAAATAGATTATATAGAGAACCATAATGACATTGCCATGAGCCATTCAAAGTTTCTGCAGTGAGAGAGTAGCAGAGAGAGAGAAAAAAGTAGGGAGAGAGGGGATGGTAGGGAGGGTCCCGGGGGGGGCCACCTGGGTCCTGAGAAAAAATAAGGACAAACTAGGCCAAGGGCAATGGTATTAGGGGAGTACAGGGAGTCATCAAAGCTTGAGGGTAAAATGTATCACCCACGGTTGCTATAACTATAATTTATTAAGTAAGACTGCTTCATTTTTAGATCATGACTTGGATTTAATAAGCTTGATCATTATGTTGTCAGCTTGTCCATTGTGTTGCGGTGTTATGCATCTGGTTTACCTTTATGAGCCATATAGCCTGATTGGTTCTTGTGAGCAACTCAGAGACTTACAGGGTCTACTAGCATTAGACATGATTCACCCCTACCCAGGTGAGATTAGGAATGTTTGATTGTAATGTCCTTACAATCACTAAGATCTGGGGCAAAGACCCAATCATGTGCAAGAAAAATTAAAAACAGTATTTTTACTTGCACATGATTGGATGATGGAAGTCAGCAGAACTTCACCTCATCCTAAACTATGGGGCAAATACTCTTGCAAAGTGCAACTTCCCTTGCATGGTGAGCAGACTACTGGCCATTAGTAAGTCAAGCCTTTTGTCTGCTAGATCTTCACTTTCAGTTTCATCACTTACCCTTCAGTCTGTCTATTGCCCTTCCAAAAGTCTGTTTTCCATGTTGCTTGCATTCACCCTTCAGGGGTGTAAATTTCATATTATATAGACAATCTTCTCCTAGCTATGAACATAGTTACATAGTTCATCTGGTTTAAAAAAAAGTCCATCCAGTTCAACCAACAGAGAAAAACAAAAAAGCTGGGAAGTCTTTGAAAACTCTGGTACCCACCAGTGACGTCCCGAGGCAGGTGCGGGGGGTGCGGTCCGCACAGGGTGACACCGGACCCGCTCCACGAAAAGGTAAGTTGTAAAGCAAGCCGACTATCCCCGCAGGATGGATCCGATCCATCCTGCGGGGATCATCAGCTTTCTTTACAACTTACCTTTTTTTGGAGTGGGTCCGGTGTCACCCCATATAGGTTGCATGCCGACGATCCTGCGGGGATCGTCGGCATGCAACCTATACGGGGTGACATGGTGTAGTGGCAAGATGTGTCTCCCATGTAGATATGTCCCCCCTGAAGCAACTGCGCATGTCCCGGTTTCAACCGGACATGCGCAGTTGCTTCAGGGGGGACATATCTACATGGGAGACACATCTTGCTGCTACACCAGACCTGCTCCAAGAAAAGGTAAGTTGTAAAGAAAGTTGACGATCCCCGCAGGATGGATCGGATCTGCGGAATATCTAGTGTTGAAGAAGGTAGCCCAGTTTAAATGGCTAGTCAATTTTGCCAAGTATCAAACTCAGCAACTTGAGTATTTGACATGCTGTTTATGCAGACCAGGAAGAGTCAGTGATTGCATAGTCTTCAAACTTTTCAGTGCAAGAAATATTTGGGCATACAAGTGGCCTGCATACTGGAAGCGAAATTTGTAGACACACTTTATCGACTTCTGGAAAGTTAATTTTGCCGCAGAGAATTCCCCATCCTTATGTTCTTGAGAAGTTTGGCTTGGTGAACCAATCTCATCATTCTCCATTGGATTTTGATATAGGGGGTGTCAATCCCCACATCGCTACTATTCAGTGCTGCCCCTTTATAAATGCATGTTACAGTGGCAGCTATAGGATCCTAGGTTGAGGAGTGCTGACTTAGCTCTTTTTAGCCTTATAGCAACAAGGCAAAAATCCATCTCTCAAGCAGAAATGTTGTAGCCGACAGAGGTTTCCAAAAATGCCGTTGAAGCTTTTCTGCAGAAACACAACCAAACTGGCAAGGTTGAGGACAAGCAACCAGATCAGCCCCAGAAACCAGAGAAGCAAATGAGAAATAAAGAAAACTTACTTACTATACCAGAAGATATACAGTAGCACTATCAGCTTAGAAATGGCAGGGACCACTGGGGTCCTGGTACAGCCATCTGAACTCTGAAGATGTCTTATCAGATATGATCTTCATGGTGGAGATACAGGCAAAAGGCCATCCTCTATATTGTAAACAGAACAAAAAATATTTATGGCATTATTTTTGACAGTATTCTTGTATTACAGCTTTTTTTTCAGAAGTTCCTAAATGTTTGGAGAATACTGAATTTTCCAGGTCTCAAAATGGCATACAGGACTGTCAGCCCTGCAGACCATTTGGAAATCATTGGCAGGGCAGTCAACAGGCTACCATACACAATGCACAGTTTTCCCTGTTTATCTCCAGGAAATAGTGGCCAAAGCTCTTAAGACAGACGCCGTCTTAATTTCAAAGAATTTTAGTTTTATATTTCTTCTTTTCCATTTGAATGTGCATGTTTCACAGAAGATAAGAAGATAGGTGTTCTGACAATTGCTTTATTTCCATACTGACCTTGGCTTTCGCTCCTCTGGGAAATGAAATTGAAATCTTAATTTTCTCTGACCCTTAAAGAAGATCTTCTACAGGAGTCTGTCATCTAGATGTACAGATATCCCATTTGATGTCATAGCGTTTGAGTGCCAGAAGTTGGGAAGAATGCAGTTTTTTCACTAGATTATTGAGATTCTTTTCAAGGCCAGGAAGAATTCCACCAAAATCACCCAATCCAATATCTAGCACGTTCTTTGCTTTCACTTTTGCTGTGGCAAATTGGTTGCATCAAGGTACAGATTTTGTCTATCATAGCCTTTACAGATGTTCACTGTGCTTCTCCTTGGAGGAAAAAAAATCACATCTGTCATTGGTGTTTAATCAATTGAATGCTCCTCCCTTTTAGTCAAACCACCTGAACTCTTTCTGGCTGGTAATTTTAAAGGTGGCCTTTTTGATAGCGATTACATTGGAGCGCAGAGTGTAGAAGTTTCAAGTCTTGGTAGTGGTGAAACCATTGTGCTATTTCCATGAAGAACTATAACTATCAAGTTTCTTCTTACGGTGCTTTCTAGTTTTCATTTGGAAATGCCAAAGGCTCTATGTGCAATGCTTTCTTTCTTAGACCAGGACACTTTATCTTCCATAGACAAGACAAAACTGTTGTCTTGTTACTGTAAGAGAAAAAAAGAAGCTTCAGACAAGATTCTGATCCTTCTGTTGGGCCTAGGAGAGTTCTTCATGGCTTCTCCAGGAAAATATCTACATGGATTTAAGGCTATTCAGAGGTGAAACCAGATCAAAGGTCTTTCCATAAAGAACCATAACCATCTCAAGTTTCTGCTTACAGCCCTTTCTAGTTTTCATTTGGAAATGCCAAGGACTGTATGAGCAATGCTTTCTTTCTTAGATCAGGACACTTTTTTTCCATAGACAAGAGCAAACTGTTGTCTTGTTATTGTAAGACAAAAAAGGCTTTCAGACAAGATTCTGATCCTTCTGTTGGGCCTAGGAGAGCTCTTCATGGCTTCTCCAGGGTAATATCCCCATGGATTTGAGGCTATTCAGAGGTGATACCAGAGCAAAGTTCTTTCTTCCCCTGAAGAAGTCAAGCTTTGTTCCACCCAGGGTACAGAAGACTCCTGGGGAGCTTGTACCAAAGTTCCAGCTGACATTTTCTACTCAATGCAGGTACACATGGCTGCAAGTTCTTCTGTCCAAGTGGCTTCTAATTTTTTCTCTGCCACTTCTAAAGCAGAATAACATATTTCTGTTTACCATGATTTTGCTATCCCAACCTGTTTGTTATTTTTAGTTCATTTCCAGGTGTTACGAACATGAAGTGAGATTGGGGAAGGGAAAATTGTAAAATTCATACTTACAAAAATTTCCCTACTCCAGTTTCTCTTCATGTGAAAACTACTTTCCTGCCTGGTTCCACTATCTGCTGAGATGCAAATGGTGGGTCATAGAAAAGTATTTACTGCATTGGACATAGGTGTCCTTTTATGAAACAGAGATCAGCGGCAATCCTAAGGATCATCTGAGCACACAGACTGCCAGTGTATAAAGGAGCGATGTCAGCCCTTCACTGACGATCTGTGTTCTCCCTCCAGATTCTCCAGCCCAGAGCTGGAGAATCGGGGGAGCCACAAACGAAGCAGCGATAATTTACCGCTGCTTAGTAAACGGTGTTTGATTGATCTCTTACTGTAATCTCACAAGATTGCAATAAAAGCAGTCGTTTTCTTGCGTTCAAAGTGTTTGTAGATCGCTCTCTCTTCATTCGGAGAAGCGATCTACACCGCATCATAAAAAGGCATTCAGAGGAGAACTACATGAGAACTGCATGATAAAAGGACACCCTAGGGCTGTTCTGAGGAGTCAGGATGTGTAGAGAGAACAAAAGGTTGCTGACCTAAAAATAAACTGAAAAAGGAATATTATAAGTGTGCAGAAAATTTCCTATTTAAGTAAATTTATTGAGTTGAAGAAATCAAGCCTGAACTGATCTCTAACTCCCCTCAGTCATTCTTCATGCATTTTAATGTCTTTTATTTTCTACCTGTTTCCACCTAATGTTTATCATTGTGTCCTTCTAACTTCTCTTTTTTATAACACTCCTATTATTTATCTTATTTATGATTTTTCCTTCACTCCTTTACGTTTCTCTAATACTGATATATTTTTTTCTTTCTTCTTTTACATCTCTTCCACTTTGCCTCCAACACCCACTATCCTGCCTTTCCCACACCTTCCTTCCCAGGTCCCTTGGAATCCCCCTTAGCTTATGATATAGATGCTGATTTAGAATTTGATGAAACAGATCCTCAGGGCGCTCAGCACACCCCACACAACAGTACGGGGAGTGTAACAACCCCCCCAGCTAGTACCAAACGTGTCCCTTTCTTTAAAAAGGTAAAACCCCCTCCTGGTGCAGTGTTACTAGTAGCATTAGCTATGCATCAAAGTTGTAGCTCGGCCAAAGACATAACACTAAGTGATGATGAGTTTGCTGCTTTTTTTTTCCTAGTGTGAGCATTAAGACTTGCTTAATTTGTGTAATTTGCTTAAAATGTATTATTATTGATGTTGCCCAAGTTCAGTACTTTTGAAGTGATCTGTTAATAACTGCTTGGTGATTGTGCAATAACAAATGCAACTTGAAATCTACTGATTATAATACGTTGTATAAGCTGAGATGGTTTAGTTTGTTTTGAAAGGGTAGAGTAAAGCCCAACAAGTGTTAACCCCTGTACCTTTCCAGTCTGCCCATTTATTTAAGTATGCTACAATGGCAGCTCTAGAAGGCTAGTTGGTTGGAAATTTAAGGGTCCCAGAGCATATCCATATACTGTAGGCTTTAGCTGGTGTAAGAGTATTGGTTTAGGTAAACACTTGCAAAGCTTAGAGCAGCTTTTTTGAAGCCTTTAAAGCACCTTTCAGCTTTCATTTGGGGATAATAAGCACAGATCTTCAACAGTCTTTCATTAAATTTCACCACTACTTGAAACTTGTTGAAATCCATAGTGTTGAAGGACAAAAAGAACAAGCTCATTGCCCCTTTGACATGGTCGTCATCCGTTCAGTAGGAGATTTGTGCACAAATTCCCTGCTGAATCGGAGCAGAATGGGTTGGATGTCACTTTTGTGACATCCATGTCAATTCAGTGTTTAGCTGCATTTAAAAACTGAATATATGAGTGGCCAGATGTAGACAAATTTGAATTTGTTTACATCAGACTGCCTCTGATCCATTACGTTTAGGTCAGAAAAACAGAAAAAGATGAAGACCCTTTCCGTTTTTTTTTTTCTGGACGTGGACGAAGGAGATCTAAGCAGTTCGGACACACATTTGCTTACATTCACCTGCACATTGATTTACCTGAAGATTCTGACCAGGTCCACTTGGAAGACTGATAGGTGGACCTGAACGAACTGTTTGTATATAAAAGGCCAAAAGAGAACATAGTACAAGTGAAAGATTTATACCAGCAGTTGAGGCCATCACCTTCACTTTGGTGTAAACCCTCTGGAGGACAATAGTGTATATACTGTATACCCAGAACTTTTTTTCAGTTTTAGATGGGATTGATTGAAACCCTTGTCAGTTGCTTTATGTCCTTTTTTTGCTGTATGCATCCCATTAGGGAGCTTTCCCTTCACTTCCCGTTGGAGAGGTGGAACAAGAAGTGAGCGTAAATCTCTACAAAGTGAAGGGAATTCTCCTCTTAGACAATTGTCCCCAGAACAAGTGCCCTCTTTGTAAGGTTTTTCCTTTACTCCTGTTTTGGGCACAACTGTAACAATTTTCACATAATTTTATGCTTCAGCAACAATAGTCAGCATGACAAATAAAGATGCTGAATCTTCCCTGTAGGACACAGACAGCAGTAAAAACTTGATAGAGATTTTAAACCATCCTCACTCTCCCATATGGAAGAATAATCTATTTGAAATATATTTTGAAAATATTCTCAACAAATATATTGACATATATTTGAAATGCTACATTTTTGGCCATATTCAATATATAAATGTATACAGTTGCAAGAAAAAGTATGTGAACCCCTGTGGATTACGTGGAGTTTTGCATGAATTGGGCATAAAATGTGCTCTGAACGTCATCTAAGTCACAACAATAGAAGAACACAGTCTGCTGAACATAATACTACACAAACATTAGATGTTGCCATGGTTTAATTGCACATAACATGTAAACATTCACAGTGCAGGGAGGAAAAAGTATGTGAACCTTTGGACTTAATAACTGGTTGACCCTCTTTTGGCAGCAATAACCTCAACCAAACGTTTCCTGTAGTTGCAGATCAGACCTGCACAACGATCTGGAGTAATTTTGGACCACTCCTCTTCACAAAACTGTTTCAGTGTAGCAATATTCTTGGGATGTCTGGTGTGAATCGCTCTCTTAAGGTCATGCCACAGCATTTCAATCGGGTTGAGGTCAGGACTCTGACTGGGCCACTCCAGAAGGCATATTCAGCCTTCAGTCTTTAGCTGACACTCTGGGATTCTTCTTTACCTCATGCAGCATTCTGCGCTGTGCTCTTGCAGTCATTTTTACAGGACGACCACGGCTAGGGAGAGTAGCAACAGTGCTAAACTTTCTCCATTTGTAGACAGTCTGTCTTACCGTGGACACATGAACATCAAGGCTTTTGGAGATACTTTTGTAACCCTTTCCAGCTTCATGCAAGTCAACAATTCTTGATCGTAGGTCTTCTGAGAGCTCTTTTCTGCGAGGCATGGTTCACATCAGACAGTGCTTCTTGAAATCAGTAAACCCAAAACAGGTGTGTGTTTTTGAAGGGCAGGACTGCTGTCAGTAACACATCCAATATCATCACACTGATTGGAGTCAAGGTTGGCTCACTCCTGGCTCCAATTAGCTCTGGGAGAAGTCATTAATCTAGAGCCTCACATACTTTTTCCTCCCTGCACTGTGAATGTTTACATGTTATGTGCAATTAAACCATGGCAACATCTAATGTTTGTATAGTATTATGTTCAGCAGACTGTGTTCTTCTATTGTTGTGACTTAGATGACGTTCAGAGCACATTTTATGCTCAATTCATGCAAAACTCCACATAATCCCAAGGGGTTCACATACTTTTTCTTGCAACTGTGTGTGTGTATATATATATATATATATATATATATATATATATATATATATACACACTGCATGTTAAAATGCGTTTTTATTACAAAATATATGAAAAATATTTTTAAACTACATTTCAAATATACTGTATGTCTTTAAAAATACAAATCTACATTTTTGGAGTGCATTTACAAATATATGTAAAAATATATGTTAAAATGATTTTATTTTTTAAAAATCTGAATATATTTAAGACAATATATATTTTTTTTAAACTAATAGGCTATACATACGCCTTTACTTTCAAACTAACATATATGTTGCCAGGACTTAACTGTCCTGATTATAGGTGTACAAAAAGTGTATCTGTCATCCAGGGCTTTTTTTCAGCGGGAACGCAGGGGGAGTGCAGTTCTGGCACCTCCAACACTGAATGTATATCATTGCAAGGGGTGCTGAAGGGTCTGTTGATGCTGGCTGCTGGGGGATCTATTTTTGCCAGTGGGTTTGATGTTGCTGGGGAGGTCTACTGCTGCTTGTGGATCTATTGTTACTGAGGGTGAGTCTTATGTCACTGGGGGGGTCAGTCATTTCTGGGAGGGATCTACTGTTGAGGGAGCAGTCTATTGTTGGCTGCTGGAGGATCTATTGATGCTGACTGTTGGAAGTCTATTGTTCCTGTGGTGGATCTATTGTTGCTAGCTGCAGGGGATCTATTTTACTGCCTTTGTTATCAGTAGCAAATTCCATGAAAATGTCTTAGCACCAGATACTTGGTTCTTTATTCTCTAAAAGGAGCTGTATTGGGAGGGGGATAGGGGGTGGAACCAAGGAACGGTGCTTATAGGTGGGTAGGGGGTGGACACAAGGGGTGACTCAGAAAGGGAGAGTTCCTGCACCTGTTTTCTGATAAAAAAAAAAAGCCCTGCTGTCAACCATGTAGAGCAAGGAAGCAGACTCTGATTGTTTTATGTAATTATCAAAAATGAAACAGGGTAATGATTCACTAAAGACTGAGAGGTAAATCTTGTACAAGTAAACTGAGAAAATGATTGTTCTTTTGGCCTAAAATGTCTGCCTTGACTCTGTAAAGATCTACAGACGTTTCTTGTAAAAAAAAAAAAAAGGATCTACAGACGTTAAGAGGCGTTCACAAATATTTACTCCGCTGCTATCTAAGGATTGCTAGAGAGCTGCGATATAAGAATGGAAGCAATAAAGACTTTACAAGAATATCTAAGCACGGGTTTGGTAAGATGGGATAGCAAGAATAATCGCATGTATCAGTTTAAGAACAACTGAGAACAGCCTGAGGTTGTGTGCTGAAGGCGCACTGCAGCACACTGACCGAGCTGTCACTGATTGTATTCACTCATGGCTTCCAATCAGACCCAGCAGGGAGGGCTCCCAATTATGTAACTACAGTGAGAGCCAATCACAGCCATCGCACGATAGAGAAGTCTTAAAAGCCACTTAAAGGGCCACCTGCACGTGGCATGAAGGTTTAGATTACTAAGAGTGCGCTGCATAGAGAAGCATTAAAGGCAGGAATTGATATTTTTTTTCTCTTGTTTATATATGGATCATTTTGTAGAGTAGTGTCAAGCAGGAAATGACAAAATTTATTTATCTAGTTAATTCCACCTACAACAAGTGTGTAAATATCCGTGTATAAATGCATGTTGTGTAGATTTTGCTGCAGTGATTATGGCAATAACAGGCATGATTTCCTTCTCTTTTTTTCTACCTTTTCTTGTCCCTTTATCACCACTCACTTTTCATTTTTTTTTGACCCTTGCTCTTCTTTTTTTGCTACATTAACCCTTGCCCCATCCTTCTTTCTCTTCTGCTTCTTTCACTGACTACATATAGCTAAACAGAGGCAGAAGTCAGTAAGTAACTGTATGCACACCCGCTAAGTGTCTTCTTTTTATTACGCTGTCTTGTGCTGCTGTGTTATGGTCCCTGAATAGAGCATGCTATGCAGTGTCTGTGGATGGTTGATATGCTCAAGTGATCTGCATGATGCTCAGTATATGGAGATGCAGGGTGTGCACATGGGTTTAAGCCACTTTTTCTTTTGCAGACAGAGCACATCCCTCCCTATGATGTGGTTCCTTCAATGAGGCCAATCATTCTAGTCGGGCCCTCGCTGAAAGGTTATGAGGTAATATGAACATTGGATCTATGGAAGCAGCTAAAAGTAATCATTTGATACAGTCTAATATGTTACATAGTTAGTCTGGCTGAAAAAAAGACAAACGTCCATCCAGTTCAACCATTTAAAAAAAAAAAAGTTATAATCCTACACCCATAGTTGATCCAGAGGAAGGCAAAAAAACCTCAGCAAAGCACGATCCAATTTGCTCCTGCAGGGGAAAAAAAATCCTTCCTGATCCCCCGAGAGGCAATCCGATATTCCTTGGATCAACTTTACCTATAAATGTTAGTATCCAGTTATATTCTGTGTATCGAAGAAAGAATCCAGGACTTATTTAACTACTTGACAACCACAGATAGCCGAATGACGGCTACACTGCAGCCGGCCAGTTCTGGGAGGGCGTCATATGACGTCCTCCCAGAACTCGCTCTCCTGCGCACCCCTGGCGATCTCCATGATCGCTGTATCCTACGGACACAGCTGATCACGTGATGTGGTATTAGGCCAATCACATTGGCCTTTTACCACGTGATCAGCCGTGTCCAATGACACGCTGATCACCGGAAAGTGCAATTGCCGGTTCTTGGCTGCACTCTCCTTGCGCTGTCAGAGCGCGAGGAAAGTACTGCCAAGAATCGGCAGTTGTCAGAGCAGGGATTGGCACTGATCATCAGGGCACGGATGATCAGTGCCCTGATGATCGGTGCCCAGCAGTGCCACCCACCAGTGCCGCCCACCTGTGCCCAGCAGTGCCACCCAACTGTGCCCAGCAGTGCCCACCAGTGCCACCCAGCAGTGCCACACACCTGTGCCCAGAAGTGCCACCTACCTGTGCCCAGGACATTTTTTGCTATTCGGCACTGTGCTACTTTAACTGGCAATTGCACGGTCATGCAACACTGTATCTGCATGAAATGTTATATCATTTTTTTACACAAATAGTGCCTTCTTTTGGTGGTATATGATCACCGCTGGGTTTTTTATTTTTTATTATATAAATGAAAGAGACCAAACATTTTGAAAAAAAAAACAATATTTTTCTGTTATCAAACATATCCAATTACAAAAAAAAAGAATTATTTTTTTTCAAAAATGTATTCTGTTAAATCTGTCTTCGTAAAAAATGGTTTGTGTGCAAATTATAGCATCTACAAAAAAACTGTATATATACTGGAATTTTTATTTTTTTATACCAGTAATGGTGGTGATCAGTGACTTATAGTGGGATTGTGATAGTGCTGTGGGAAATCTGACACTAACTGACACTGGGTGGGAACTGACATCTCCAGTGACACTAATACAGTGATGGTGATATTATACACTGTCACTGTACTAATGACACTGGCTGTGAAGGGTTTAACATCTAACGGGCAATCAAAGGTTAACTGTGTGCCTAACAATATGTAATGTGTGTAATATGTGTTGTTTTTACTAAGCGATGTGACTGTTTTATCTCCCTGCTTTGCAGGGAGGAAAACACAGCCACATTGCTGCTGTCTGTACAGTGCCCTGTGTTTGTCAACACAGGGCTCTGTACTGTCATTTGCTAAGCCGATCAGCAGGTCCTGGCCATAAATCATTGGCCAACACCAGCAGACTGACTTGTGCTGTAGCGAATGACAGCACAGGTTGGGCAGGGGGGCGCGTGCGAGCCCCCTACCTGAAAATGCCAGGTCACATACATGTACGTGGTCCGATGGAGTGGTTATCTAGTTATCTAGTGCTCTCATCCTCCTCCAAATCTCCAAATTCCTTTGTTTCTGCTGCTGTGATCTGACGTCCTGTTAGAAGGTGACTATGTTTGTTCTCCATAATCCCACTTATGTAGGAACATAGCCTCCTTATCTTGCTAGCTCCCATGAGGGACTAGAGACCATGGAATGTGTAGTGTGCAGATTGGACAGATATAGAAATTCATGGATTTTACAAACTGTCCTTGAATTTAATTACACTGTCTGAGGAGGGAGAGGGGAGGTTGTGGGTAGGGGGCTTTGGGGGGTAAAACTGGAATCTGGGTGGGCAGCACCCCCTGATACAGCCAAGCTACATTTACTTGCCTGGTACTATGTGGAGTCCCTGCATTCGCTGTTGCCAGTACTTTTACAGAAACAATGTCTCCGGCATCTCTTCAGCTGTGCCTGTTCCTACAGTCTCTGTGCCGCTGCATCCTCTATGCATATACATATACGGAATCACCTGTGCCCTCCATATATGCCGGCCACTGCGACTTCTATTCTTGTACGCCAATCTCCAAACATGCTGAACTCTCCTGGACTTCATGTGGCCCGCAGGCCACAGGTTGGACACCCCTACTCTACAGCCTTCTAAAGCACACATTTATACAGCATTTCTGGGATTAAGAAGGCAGGTGGTGGGGATCTGATGTCACACACTTCACAGCACACAGAGGAGAATTGAGTGTGATCTGAGACCTGAGTGGAAAGAATGGTCACACCCCCCGTTACACAATCTCATAGGGAAACATGCACACCTGAAGCTGTCAATCACCTGCTGTGTGCTGAGGGGCATGTCCCTGGATTGTCCTGGTGTCCCTATACAGACTGTCAGAAGTAACTAATGGAAACAGCTGAGGAACGAGAGAGCAGACAGAAATCACAGTAGGTGCTTTTAATTAGGGCAAGTACACACCACAGTAAGATATGCTGGATGCAGATGGATTGAGAAATGAGATCCTTATCCTTTCTGAAGCAAGACCTACCAATCCTATTCAGTAGCACTTGTAACAGCAGAAAACAATATGTTATAAAGTATATATTTGTCTGATATGATGGAAAATGGAGTAATGCTAAACTGATGGATCTCTATGGTAACATCCAAGTACTTTTACTATATGCTGGATGCAGATGGATTGAGGAATTAGATATGTTTCCAGGATTTATAAGATCTTAATTGAATTGATGGGAGCTGAACCTCCGTCATTCTTGGATAAATGGGAAAAAAGAATTGGGTACAAAAATAAATGATCAACAGAAGATTAAAATGTTTAAGTTAATGCATGGGGTAGTAAATATTAATACAGTTGAAATGAATTATAAATGTTTATCTAGATGGTATTGTACACCAGTGTGGCACATAAACAACGAGTAGAAATATCACCATTGTGTTGGAGGGGTTGTGGGGCAATAGGGACAATGGCTCACATATGGTGGGATTGTCCAAGGATATAGGTGTTTTGGCAAGATATAATTCAATGTATAAAGGAGATCTGGGGGCCATTTATCCAGAAGAATCCGTGGGTGTGTGTTTTTTTATAAGACAGAAATGTCAGTGAAACAGTATAAAAATAGCATATTATACCATCTGATTAGTGCGGCAAAAAGTTTAATCCCTACATTTTGGCAGGTTCAGGACTCTCCCAACAATGAGGGACTGGATAGATAGAGTCAATTATATTAATAGGATGGAGGAGCTACACCATGTGGAGGAGGATAAAATGGAAAAATGTAGGTGGTATGAATTTAAAACATCTGAAAAATATCTGAAAATGAGGGGTGCCCTAGGAGTAGAGTCGGAGAATCAAATTGGTCAAACTGGTTACCTAGATATTAGCAAATAGGGTTGCAGACACAGGAGGGAAGGTGGGGAAATAGATGGTAAGAATCAATTGGACAGGTATAATTATATTGGAAGGGGTGGTTTTAGGGGGGAAGGGAATGGGGTTAAAGTGGATGTAATTTGTTGTGACAAAAGTTATATGGCTGTTTTATGTATTGTAATAAAAATGTAATAAAAGATATAATAAAAAAAGAGAAATTAGATATTTATCCCTTGATCTGAATATAGACCTACCACTCCTAATAAGTAGGACTTAGAACAAAGCAGAAAACAATATCCTCCAAAGTAGATGTGTAGAAAAAGTATGCTTATGAAGGTGATCTGAGATGAAAAAGATAGTTGGCAAATATAATACTTCCACATTTTTAACTTGAGTTGCAGTGGTACCCATTAAGCATTTATAGAGGCATAAAGGACTATAAAGAGCTCAATACTTTCAAACATAGTGACTGGTCCAGGCATTATTTGTATAATGTCATAGTAAAAAAAATACATGAGGAACAGTTGTGCGTGTCAAAGAGCTTAACCACTTTGCACCGGTGCCTCCCGGCCCTTTAAGAGTTTCGGGAGGCAGGCAGGGTTTAGGGTCATGTGACCACCGTGATTTGCTGTCACATTATCGGAAAAGGTCCCGATCGAAAGGGGAGATTGGGACTTTTCCGTGAGTCACGGACACATGTGCTGGGAGCGCGCAGGGCGCGCGCTCTCAGCACGTATGTATTTTCTAATTGCACGCAAATATGCGGCCGCTCAGCATCAAGATTCAGACACTCGGCGTCAAGGGGTTAATATCATGTTCAAAAGGGTTCTCAAACATATTACAAAATCTCTGTGACTGATCTGGATTTTTTATTAAGCCAGTCGGGTGAAAAAGTTGTGATGAGTTTGCCTATTGCAACAAGAATTGCCAGATCTTTTACCTTCATGATTTGTCAGAAATTTGACTATAGACAACCAAAGAAGCTTATACTTACCTTTTCTGGACCAAAGCGACTTCAGAATAGGCAAGTATAAGCATGTCTCCTTTTACAGGGTAGATGTAATTGGCTTAGAATGGGGGTGGGAGTAGGTTTAAGCTTAGTAAGTTTTCACTGGAATTACACTTTAATGTTAATGGATATGCCCCATAGGCATCCAAAGTATTCTCTGGCAAGTCAGGAAATGGAATGAAAAGCAACTTTACTAAAGCTTAACTTCAGGCAAAAGTTGCAGTAGGAGAGGGGAACAGTTTTAATTGCTTCATTGCCCCTCCTGGGAGAGTTCTTTCCACTCCAGTTCCCCTCTTAACAAAAACAAGAAATGAAGGGTGGGAACCTCTCTCAACAGAGATGGGAGCAATATCAACACCTTTTAGTACATCATTCAGATAGGTCTTATCTTCTGCATCCCTCAGTGGGTAAATGTTCACTCCCTTCCTGTACTGGTGACATCATAGGGTTGATTTACTAAAGGCAAATAGACTGTGCACTTTCTAAAGCGCAGTTGCACACATTTTTCCTTATTCGATGTAATGTGGTAAAGATCCTCTTTGTAAAGAATACCCAATCCATGCAAGGATAAAAAAAAAAAAGGATTTTTGCTTTTTTTTTGCATTTTTTGATGGAAATCAACAGAGCTTTAACACATTTACTATGCTTTGGGGAAAATGAGTGCAACTGCACTTGCAAAGTGCAGTCTATTTGCCTTTAGTAAATCCACCTCTGTGTGTTAGGTCACCAATCCAAAGAAACATCCAAGAGATTTCAACCCCTTCCTAAATTATCCAGAACTAAAAAAAAAAGAGTTTTAGCTGGAGTTGATGTTTAATCCTTCATGCAAGAAGACCACTAGACACATAAAAAGTAAATTCTTTCTAAGAAGAATAGCTTCATTCATTTGCTCAATCTCCACACATACCTTTGCTCCTTCTTTGCTGAACCATATATTCTTGGTTAGTCTTCTCTCCATCTTTATCCTACATGTGAAGTTGCTTCTTACTGCCATTAGTTCTCTCAGATTCGTTTCTTTGCCTGCAGGTCACGGACATGATGCAGAAAGCCCTCTTTGACTTCTTGAAGCATCGCTTTGATGGAAGGTATTACATTATCATTTGATATGTTTACAGCCTAGGACAGATAACATAATACATGATCTAAGTTGACATTTCTTATAAGCATTATACAGCTTGGAAAGAAATTTGAAGAACAGAACAGAAATAACAGAAATCATTAAATAGTAATAATTGCTTTGCTGCTTTGTCATGTCCCTCAAATGAGAAGCCAACATGTGACTTGGTCCATGAGACTCCACTTATAAATGTATGACTCCTTTAAATTCAGGTTCCTCCAGGTCTTTAGTCAATCACATGCTGAGGCCCAACAGAAGCTTTCTAATGCAGTGGCTGCCTCCCAAGGGCAACAGCTCAAGAACAATACCCCTCTGAACAAGTCTCCATAACTTTTATCTTTTCCCCAGCAACCTTCTTGGCATCTCCTCCCAGGGATTGGCTGAGGTCAGTTGAATATTTATAACCCAGTGGTGGCTGACCCTCCTACTCTGTCTGGAAGCTTCATCCTGAGGCAGATAGGAGAAGACAACCACCAACCTTAAGGAAACCTGGCCACATCTAGAAAATAGATTGTTTCTACCCTGAGTACAATAGAGTCAAAAACTAAATTTAACCTATCTGGAGCACGGTGCTACATCTAGTGAAGCCAGTTATACTCACCTGAATCCCCCCATCTAGGGCCTTTGTTTCCCCCATCAGCACCCACTAGTACAGTGCTGTTTGTTAATCCTCAATATCCAGTATCCTTTACTCCCATTGGTCCAGTCATCTCTCTTTAGCATCCGTCCTCTGGCTGGCCATTGGAAAATGTTCCCATCACACAGGCAGTGATGTAGACACCCAGAAGAATGATCCCCTGGGAAGTAAACAAAGAGAAGAAGGACCCATTGCTGGATGATCATTTCTTCTTTTTTAAAGGCTACAATCACACCACTGATGTAGGCCAGTGTAAACTGTAGCAGCAGGAATCCTCTGATATCTGCTGAGGATGTGAGCGGCTAGGTCAGGCTGCTGGCCTCATTCACTATAATGACAGGTCACTGGTGCCTGCAGCTATTTGTGGCACTCTGCACAGCCAGAGGTTACCTGTGCTGATTGCTGTTGGATGCACTTTGCAAATACCTACAGCCATCAGCCACCTGTCATTATAGTGAACAGGACTGGTGGCCACACCTGGCCACTCATACCCGCAGCAGGGATCAGAATATTCCTGCAATTCGTGCCGGCCTAAACAGCTGGTGTGATTGTAACCTTACTCAGAAATCAGAGCACAATGGGGGGGGGGGGGGGGGGGGGTAATTTTTTCCTGGAATTGGGCTTTAAAAGAGAGTCACAGCAGGGGTTAAATTGGGGTTTTCCCATTCAGGACAGAGTCTGTGTATACCTAAGCCCCCAACCACTTTATATTCACCTCTCCAGGACTCGATCTCTGCTTCTTCTGTGGTTGCCACTGCAAGATATTGAGTGTTTCCAGTTATGGGGGAGAATGTGACTTCCCTCCTATGATGCAGTGCTCAGTTCTTCTGACCGCTTGTTAGGTCCAAACATTTTCAAATAATAGAGGGGATCTTTTAAAATCCAACACCTGGTATTTTGGTGGCAGCTGTGACAGGAAGAAGTTGCGGGGGGAGTACTGGAGAGATGAGTATTATTGGACGGGATGGGCTTTACACAGGTACTGTCATTTTGCTCCATTTGTCTCTTTAAAACTCTGTAATAACACACCAAGTAATACAAGAGAAGCACTCCTTACTTGGTCTAATGATATGTAAATATATTGATTTTTTTATATATTCTTGGAGTAGTTTCAGTGCAATACTCAAAAACAGCAGTGATCTAAGCCATGCAAGTTATACTGGCAACATTCCTAGCTATGACTTTCACCAACTCAGCATAAATGAGGACTATTTATACATGATGATTGGTAAAACTGTTCTAACCAACCCATGTGATACTTTAATCCACTTTAATCCATCTACATTACATCTACATTATCCAGCTACAGCCCACTCACTGAAACGCCAATGATCTGTGGGATATAGGTGATCATTTGTTCATTTCTATAGGTCACAGCACGCCATGTTCGTGTTTTAAGGCATTTCATCATTTTAGACATATTATCTCAGTAGTACTGATACATACACATCCAAGAAAAAATAAAAGATGTTTTTAAATACGTGGTAAAACCATTCTGTAGTATATACAGCATGGGGCACAACATAACGAATGTCCAAATGTGGATGTGCAAGATCCCTAACTCGCCAGCATGCTTGTCAAATGCAAAATGCATTATAATAAACTGTGTATGTATGTATGTGTATATATATATATATATATATATATATATATATATATATATATATACAGTGTGTATGTATAGATAGATACAATGTGTGTGTGTGTGTGTGTGTGTGTGTGTGTGTGTGTGTATATATAGAGAGAGAGATTGAGAGAGAGAGAGAGAGAGAGAGAGAGAATGAATATGAATATATACACAATACCCTTTGAAATGCCTCCATTTAGTTTTATGTGACACAGAAAAGCATTTCCATTTTTTTCCGTTTTAATTACTCATATTTACTGATTTTTTTTTTTTAAAACTGCTTGTATTAAAATAAAATCACTCTTCAGTTATACCTTTTTTTCTGTAAATGAAAATGCTTTTTTTTTTTTTGTATAGAATATTGTGACTGATGATTAGATTTTAAATATTTTTCAGAGCATTTTATATTGTTATTTAAATTAATAGGATCCAAAAAAAATGCTTAAACTTTTGGTCAGCTGTTAAAGTACCTTTTCCGTAAAGTTTCTTTATGTGGTCATGTGTCCTCAAAGCTACGACTAGCTTTTTGTGCTTGTGGAGGGCCAAACACCTTGCTGAATTCCTGCTACTCCCATAGAGTAGTAGCATCAGCCCTCTGGCATCCAGAGTTCTAAAGCAGGGGTCTCCAAACTTTCTAAAGAAAGGGCCAGTTTACTGCCCTTCTGGTTTTAGGGGGGGCTGGACTGTGCCCAGTGGGAGTCGACAATGCTCAATTTTTTGGTATTAGGAGGAGAAATAGTTGGTGTCAATGGGAGGAATAGTGTCAGTGTCCTGACTTCTGCCCCATTGTTGGTGTCAGTGTCCTGAATTATGCCCCATTGTTGGTGTCAGTGTCCTGAATTATGCCCCATTGTTGATGTCAGTGTCCTGACTTATGCCCCATTGTTGGTGTCATTGTCCTGAATTATGCCCCATTATTGGTGCCAGTGTCCTGAATTATGCCCCATTGTTGATATCAGTGGCAGGAATAATGTCTCAAGGGCCGGATAAAGGCAAGTGAAGGGCCGCAGTTTGGAGACCACTGCTCTAAAGTGTTTTTGGCCCACCAGCCACAGAGAAAATGAATAGAGCCAGAGCTTTGCAATGTATTAGTAAATGTATGCAGGGAATATCTGAGCAATAGGGAGGCAGCATTTAAGATGGATTATTCTGTAGCCTATTCTTATACTTTAATTTTTTGTTAGTCCTAAGAATAAATTAAAAAAAATATTCAAAACTATATTATTTGCCCTTTAAATATTGTATAGAAGACCTGACTTAAAACAGAACTTCACTCTCTAAATCAACATTGACGGTTTTTAATCCTTACACTGCTGGGATTAGTAAATAGATAGGAAAGTATATCCTAAATACCTGATTTCAACTTTTTTCTTTTTTACATCTTAAGTTACCTTCTGGTTTAATGCCTTGGCTAATGATGTCATACATCCCAGCAGTCTTCAGAAGAGGAGAGAGGGTTCTCAGCTCAGCCAATGCCTGACCTAAGGGCAGATAGATTCCAGGAAGTAAATTCTACATGAATCATCTACCCTTACTCAAGCTGGTCAATGCCAGAAATACTAGGGGGTGTTTTTGCAAATTATTTCTCAGCAAATTAAATCATGGAGACATAGTTTGATGGGGGAAATTTGCTTCAAATTAATTAATTAAATAGCATTTTTGGTTTGTGGTGCTCAGATGCAGTGCAGTTCCACACATCAAAAGTGTTACTACCCATATATCTTGATTGGAGAAGAGCCACAAGTGCCTGATCCACAATTGCTCAACTGTATGCAATAGTAAGGCAAGGAAGGATCCACATGGCCATGGATGCTCTTTAGATGCTTACATTTATTTGGAGACCACAGCATAAAAATTGCAGATGTAGAAAAGTTGACGCGTTTCAGCCTACATGGCTTTAGTCATAACTCAATTACAACTAAAGCCATGTAAGCGGAAACGCGTCAACTTTTCTGTATCTGCAATTTTTATGCTGTGATCTCCAAATAAGTGTAAGCATCTAAAGAGCATCCATGGCCGTGCGGATCCTTCCTTGCCTTACCACTTTAACATATTCTTGCAAAATATATACTAAGATCTTTGTATCTAAAGAAAATGCTATGCAGTGCATATTTGCTCTAGTCTCCATCTTGCAGCATATCTTTACCCCAGAATTACTGATAAGAAATGTGATTCATATAATAAACAGATACAACAAAGAATAGTAGAGACCCAGCTTATGCCACTGAAGTTAAATTGGCTTCATTTGATCATGATAGACAAAGCAATAGATTTCCTTAATATCTTGGTTTTCTCTCATTATTATTATACGGGTTTTATATAGCGCCAACAGTTTGTGCAGTGCTTTACAATCTAAAGGGAGAAAGTACAGTTGCAATACAATAAATACAAGAGGGCCCTTCTCTCATAGCTTGTATTCAAGTCTCCTTTGACTCCTTGCAGCTCAATTTGCCCACTGGAGCAAGAAAAGGAAGCCCCTGTCTAAACTCTAAGTTGCTCTGCTCAGAACGTAGTACTGGTTTTTCTCATGACAGAACTGGTGTCTGGCAACTGCTTAGGTACCCACCACTGCGTAGTGGGAGGAAGTGGACAGAGTCAAACACTTCTCCATACTGTTTGGAGACACCTGTTACCATACATGGGTAAAGCATATGTTTACTTTGTATGTAGTGGGTACTCATGTAGCAAGGTCTCCCTACCCTTATTCTTGACTCTTTCCCCCAACTTTTGGTAGTATCCATGCCCGTCTTTGGGTGTTCCAACTCTGCCTGTGCCAATACTTAATATCATTTAAAAATAAAAGTCTGCTACAGGTGTGTTGACCTGAGAACTTGGGCATATAGATTTTACCACCAGGGTCCAGGCGAGATATAAGAAAGCATCTGTTTGTTTAAATGGAACTTCAGCAATCCTAACTGTACCTACCCACAGGTTGGTGTTAGATTCACGTTGTCATTGAGATCTATGTCTTTACAGCACCAAATGAAACAAATTGCTTTTATGGTTTACCTTTCCTGTAGAATCTCCATCACCCGGGTCACTGCTGACATCTCTCTTGCCAAACGTTCTGTCCTGAACAATCCAAGCAAGCACAATATCATGGAGAGGTCTAACACGCGTTCCAGCTTAGGTGAGTGTCAGAATGACAATATAATAGAATGTTATGTTTGCAAACAAGCAATTGGCAACAAACCGAACCTAATGGGATTTAGAATAGCTAAGAAACACTTGATAATTTTAGGTTTTTAATAACATTCAGAATTACCACTACTTTTTTACTTGTGACGTATTTGTTATATCACTAATTTCCTATTTTAACTAACTGTAATGGTGGCATCACTGACCACCACTATAAGGGTTGCATTCTCCCTACTGACCACCAATGTAAGAGGCATTGTTTTTCCCATATACACCCAATGAATTGGTTTTAGTAAGGGTTCCTCAAGGCATGAAAATTATTTAAGGGTTCCTCTGGGGTAAAAAGGTTGAGAAAGGCTGGTCTAGATCAAGGCAGTGGTCACCCCTACCCTTCCCCATGCACATCTGCATCAACAGATCACTTATATATTGTGATCCATTGCTCACTGTAAGTAGTTATTGCAGTGATTTGTTTTTTGCAGGAATAGGCAGATCTAGCTTAATTTAGCTATGGCTGTTGGAGCTCACAGAAGTGCCAGTGATGTTACAAATGAAAGCACTGTTGTTGCACTGTGCTACAGATAACTGTGAGGCTTGTGCATTCTTTTACAAATAGCATGGTATATATCAGTTTACATATCTGGTAAAAATCTGGAGTTCATTTTTAAAGAACTGTTACCAATTTCTTTGGCTGTCATGATATTTTATGATATATCCTTCACTCATTTCCTTTGTTCTCCCTGCTTATTGGTTAAAGCGGAAGTACAGAGTGAGATCGAGCGTATCTTTGAGTTGGCTCGAACCCTTCAACTGGTTGCTCTTGATGCTGATACCATTAACCACCCAGCTCAGCTTGCCAAGACGTCACTGGCGCCCATCATTGTCTACATCAAGATCACTTCTCCTAAAGTAAGTACTACAGGATTGTAGAGGCCAGGGTTCTATTATGAGACTACTGTGTCAGACAGTAGTAGCTTATGGAGGGCAAAAAAATGAATGTGATGGACGTTATGTTGTATTGGCCCATTTCTTAGGGCAGATGGCATCAAAAAGGTACTCTTGGCTGGATGTGACTGTGTATGAATCCAGCAGCAGAATGTGTGGCTGCAGCTGGCTGATTGAGAAAAGATTTTCCAGCAAGCCCATTCTAATAATCGCCTTTTGTCAAACAGGCAAACACACAGATCGAAATTTGGCTGCTCCCCGCTGCACCGGATGAATTTTGATCCATCTATTCCCAGCTCTATCCTACTTATTAAAAATGTTTGATATAAAAAAATCTCAGCATCAGAGGGTAATTATTTTTCATCAGTCAGACTGGTCCGGATGTACCTAGGCTAGGTTCACATTTATGAAGGTTACAGTTGGTGCATTTTGCGCAACATTTTGTGTTTTTGAACATGCATTTTTTATGTATTTTTGACGCGTTTGGCTGTTTTTTTTTGGGGGCTAATAGGAAAATATGACAGCTCTGTTCACGTGGAGTGACTTTGATGCAACTTTACACTCTCTGACACTCAAGTAGCATCAAAGTCGCATGTTGGGGTTAAAGAATAATTTCACCTTTTAACATAAAATAATTAATGCACATTTTTCTGCAGGTAAAAAAAATGTGCATTTATTATTTTTTGTTTCTGGAGCCTCTAAAGCATTGCATCAGTGATCGGCAGATCGTTGGTGCCATACAGGTCTCCTGCAGACCTGTCAGTGTATCTGTGTGCCCCTACATCTCCTAAGGCAGTGTTTTTCAACCTTTTTTGTGCAAAGGCACACTTTTTTCATGAAAAAAATCACGAGGCACACCACCATTAGAAAATGTTAAAAAAATTTACCTCTGTGCCTATATTGACTATATATAAAGTAATTCTCTTGAATAGGAATCAAACACAAAGAAATTATTTTATAATTACTTTATTATGAAATAATAAAGTATTTTATAATTGGACCCGGGGGCCGGACCAAGAGTAGATGAATGATGTGTATGTGTCATCCATAGTAAGTATAGTAATATTCCCCCATAGTAAGCATAGTAATTAATCCCCCATATAGTAATTCATCCCCCATAGTAATTCATCCCCCATATAGTAATTCATCCCCCATAGTAATTAATCCCCCATATAGTAATTCATCCCCCATAGTAATTCATCCCCCATAGTAATTAATCCCCCATATAGTAATTCATCCCCCATAGTAATTCATCCCCCATATAGTAATTCATCCCCCATATAGTAATTCATCCCCCATAGTAATTCATCCCCCATAGTAATTAATCCCCCATATAGTAATTCATCCCCCATAGTAATTCATTCATCCCCCATAGTAATTAATCCCCCATATTTAATCCCCATCCCCCATAGTAATTAATCCCCCATATAGTAATTCATCCCCCATAGTAATTCATCCCCCCTATAGTAATTAATCCCCCATCCCCCATATAGTAATTCATCCCCCATAGTAATTCATCCCCCATATAGTAATTCATCCCCCCAAATAGTAATTCATCCCCCATATAGTAATTCATCCCCCATATAGTAATTCATCCCCCATATAGTAATTCATCCCCCATAGTAATTCATCCCCCATAGTAATTCATCCCCCATATAGTAATTCATCCCCCATAGTAATTCATCCCCCATATAGTAATTAATCCCCCATAGTAATTCATCCCCCATATAGTAATTCATCCCCCATAGTAATACATCCCCCCTATAGTAATTAATCCCCCATAGTAATTCATCCCCCATATAGTAATTCATCCCCCCTATAGTAATTCATCCCCCCTATAGTAATTCATCCCCCATATAGTAATTCATCCCCCATAGTAATTCATCCCCCATATAGTAATTCATCCCCCATAGTAATTCATCCCCCATAGTAATTCATCCCCCATATTAAGTCCCCAAGCCCCCCCTGTGTCAATTCACTTACCTTTGCTCCGCGCGTTCCTGTCGCCGTTCCGGTGTAGCATGAAAATCTGTCTCCTATGAGGATCTGTCCCCCTCGACGTATCTGCGCATGTGCCAGTTTCAGGCATTAGCAGCCAATCGGCGATCTCCAGCACATGCGCAGATACGTCGAGGGGGACAGATCATCCTGACAGTATCACGCTCCGCGGGCCGAATTAAAAGGTCCGCCGGGCCGTATACGGCCCGCGGGCCGTAGTTTGCCCATTGCTGTTCTAATTATTGGTCTATTTGTGAGCCGAGGCCACATGTTACGGATGAAATTGCAATTTTTCCCACAGCACACCAGACAATATCTCACGGCACACTAGTGTGTCGCGGCACAGTGGTTGAAAAACGCTGCTTTAAGGCAGGGGTGTCCAAACTTTTTTCAAAGAGGGCCAGATTGGATGAAGTGAACATGGTGGAGGGCCGAACATTTTTCCGAACATTCTTTGAACCATTACAATTAAATGCAAATAAATTATTTTATGCCAAGTTAATTGCAAACGACATACTTTTCATTTCATAACATTAAGATCAACTGACAGCTGAGTTTTCACAATGTATTGAAAATAAATTTAAAAAAAACTTACCTGCACTAATGTGAAGGGTGAAAAAGGTAGCTGGAGCTGAAGTCTCTGCTCGGCAGCCGGGAGGGGAAGAGAAACACACTTCACGCTGGAAGCCCGGCCCTGACGTCACTGCCCTCTGTCGCTCCCAGCGCGGCGCAGTCACGCATGCGCACTGCTCTCAAGCAGAAGACTGTCTGCCACAGAAGGGAGGGCCGTGCGACAGCCGCATTTACACAGACCAGGGAGAACGCGCCACAGTCAGGCATGCGCACTGCCCTCTGCTCTCAAGCAGAAGACTGTCTGCCACAGAAGGGAGGGCCGTGCGACAGCCGCATTTACACAGACCAGGGAGAGAACGCGCCACAGTCAGGCATGCGCAGACTGTCTGCCACAGAAGGGAGGCCCGTGGGAGGGCCACATTACACAGAGCAGGGAGGGCTGTTGGAGGGCCGTATTAAACCGACCCCCGGGCCGTAAATGGCCCGCGGGCCGGACTTTGGACATGCCTGCTTTAAGGGCTAGGGTTAGGGTTAAATGTTAGGGTTAGCCCTAACCCTAAGATTTAACCCTAACCCTAGCCTTCAACCCTAACATTTGACTTTGGACGCATAATGGTTCCTGCACTACTTTGATGTGACTTTGATGCTACTTGAGTAAAGTCGCATCAAAGTCATACATCATGAACAGAACAGTCATACTTTGCTATTAACCAAAAAAAAGTGAAACACATCAAAATCTTAACACTCGCGTTTTTGGAGCAGATCCATTGAAGTTTATTACATGCAAAATGCAATCTGCTGCAGGAACAAAAAGTCCCTGCCCTTTCCAAAGAAACCACACCGCCTCAGAACACACAGATGTGAACTAGATCTATTGGAAACCATATTAAATGGACTGCAGTGCTTTTCTGCAAAATGCAAATCGCACTAAAAAATACATAAGTGTGAACCAAGGCCTAAAGACAGAAGCAGTAAAGCGAAACAAAACGTACAGCTCTACTAAAGAAAGTGACAGAGTCTCTTTAACAGCCCAACCCTGACCCACTTCTGCTCTTCTTCTCCAAGCACCCCTGCCACTTTGTCACCCTGTTTATTTCTAGCCATCTTCAAGCTGGTCAGATGTTGTCAGAACTTACACAGGGATGATGATGTCACCCTCTCTCTCATATGACAGGGTTGACAAACCAATCGGACTCAAGGATTTTATGGAAGGAGGTCACATGTTCATCTATATCTGGAAGCACTTAGCATGCAATCCCTGTTTTTAAGCAAACGTTTGAAAGTATTGAGAATTTTTTTGGCCACATGCACACTGGACATTTTTTCAGCTGCTCCTAGGGACTGTTTTTTTCTTTTTTTCTGCCTCTAATCGTCCCTGCATGTTAGGCTATGTGTCCATGCACTTTTAGAGAAGTTTAGAAGCAGGGGCGTTTCGAAGCAGAAAGCTGCTACGTTTTGGCAGAAAAAACATCTGTAAAGGCATCTAAGCGCACATTTAACGCTTGACCGTAAATTCATTTCAGTGGCCAGAATAAACTATTATTCTGGCAAATGAAATAAATTAACACCCAAGCGTTTGATGCGTCTAAACGCGTTACACACTTTTACAAACGCCAGGCATTTTTTTCTGCAAAAGTGATGGTGCCAAGAAGAAAGGCTTCTAGGAGAGTTGGCAAAACGTACAGCATACATGAGGCCTAAGCATTAAAATGTGGCCACACCTCTCTGGGCATCTGATAAATTATATTTCTGTAAGGTGTTTGGATCTGAGCACAGACATTCTTTTCGTTTATTGAAGAATAATTTTGCTGATTTTTATGTATTGACATCCTTGCTTGAAATATGGAAGGATGTACAGCAGTGTGCAGAGGGTTAATTGACATGATTCTTCAGTCATCTGTTTAGCAGTAACTTTATATGGGCTTCCGATTAGCTATTTTTATTGCCAGTTGAGTGGAATCTAGAATGGACAGATGGTCTTCAAGGCCTAACAACAGGTTTCTAATGACATGTTAGCAAAAGTGGAGTGCTTTGATGAACAGGTTGAAATACCATATTCCAAAAATCCCAGTGGTATGAATGTATCATACAGTGTGCACAGGTCAGCAGTCTGGGATTGTAATGTATAGCACAGTATCATTAGTGCAGCAGTGTATGGTGTACTGTATGGTACATCAATACAGTGTAAAATTATTACTCTTATATTAACGGTCAATTGAGTAATGAATGGTACCATTATGGTCAGTGGATAAGTGCATGGCTACACTGGCAGTCAGTGCAGAAGTGTGTCAGTATTGTGAAGAAGAGTGCCTTTGCTTTAGTAGTCATTGAAGAAGTGTGTGAGTACTGTGGCAATCAGTGGACAAATGCACAGGTGATGTAGCAGTCAGTAGAAAAGTGTGTGGGTATAGTTGCAGTGTGTGTAGGTCAGTGAGGTGCTTTGGGTCCAGTTGTTGTGATCGAAGAAACACATGGGCGCAATGGCAGTTGGTGGAAAAGTGTGCGGGTTTATCTCAATGGTCAGTGGAAATTGCAACGGTGCTTACTGAGGTCAGTGCAGAAGTGCATAGGTACAGTGGTGCTTACTGGAGAAGTTTGTAGAGAAGAGCACAGTTCTGGAACAGTCAGTGAATTTCAGTTACAGTAAAGAAATGCATGAGTACTGTGATGGTCAGCAGAGAAGTGTGTGACTGCAGTGGCATGCAGTACAGAAATGCACTGGTATAGTGGAGGAGCCCACTATGGGAGTGACGATCAGTGGAGAAGCATGTGTGTGCAGTGGCAGTCATTGGAGAAGCGTGTGGGTACTGTGGCAGTCATTGGAGAAGCGTGTGGGTACAGTGGCAGTCATTGGAGAAGCGTGTAGGTGCAGTGGCAGTCATTGGAGAAGCGTGTGGGTGCAGTGGCAGTCATTGGAGAAGCCTGTGGGTGCAGTGGCAGTCATTGGAGAAGCGTGTGGGTGCAGTGGCAGTCATTGGAGAAGCGTGTGGGTGCAGTGGCAGTCATTGCAGAAGCGTGTGGGTGCAGTGGCAGTCATTGGAAAAGCATGTGGGTGAAGTGACAGTCATTGGAGAAGTGTGTGGGTCCACTGGCAGTCGTTGGAGAAGTGTGTGAGTCCACTGGCAGTCATTGGAGAAGTATGTGGGTGCAGTGACAGTCATTGGAGAAGCATGTGAGTCCACTGGCAGTCGTTGAAGCATGTGAGTCCACTGGCAGTCATTGAAGAAGTGTGTGGGTGTGGGTGCAGTAACAGTCATTGAAGAAGTGTGTGGGGGTGCAATGGCAGTCATTGGAGAAGTGTGTGAGTCCAATGGCAGTCATTGGAGAAGTATGTGGGTGCAGTAACAGTCATTGGAGAAGCATGTGAGTCCACTGGCAGTCGTTGAAGCATGTGAGTCCACTGGCAGTCATTGAAGAAGTGTGTGGGTGCAGTAACAGTCATTGAAGAAGTGTGTGGGTGTAATGGCAGTCATTGGAGAAGCGTGTGGGTGCAGTGACAGTCATTGGAGAAGCGTGTGAGTCCACTTTCAATCATTGGAGAAGCGTGTGGGTGCAATGGCAGTCATTGGAGAAGTGTGTGGGTCCACTGGCAATCATTGGAGAAGTGTGTGGGTCCACTGGCAGTCATTGGAGAAGTGTGTGGGTCCACTGGCAGTCATTGGAGAAGTGTGTGGGTCCACTGGCAGTCATTGGAGAAGTGTGTGGGTCCACTGGCAGACATTGGAGAAGTGTGTGAGTCCAATGGCAGTCATTGGAGAAGTATGTGGGTGCAGTGACAGTCATTGGAGAAGCATGTGAGTCCACTGGCAGTCGTTGAAGCATGTGAGTCCACTGGCAGTCATTGAAGAAGTGTGTGGGTGCAGTAACAGTCATTGAAGAAGTGTGTGGGTGCAATGGCAGTCATTGGAGAAGCGTGTGGGTGCAGTGACAGTCATTGGAGAAGCGTGTGAGTCCACTTTCAATCATTGGAGAAGCGTGTGGGTGCAATGGCAGTCATTGGAGAAGTGTGTGGGTCCACTGGCAATCATTGGAGAAGTGTGTGGGTCCACTGGCAGTCATTGGAGAAGTGTGTGGGTCCACTGGCAGTCATTGGAGAAGTGTGTGGGTCCACTGGCAGTCATTGGAGAAGTGTGTGGGTGCAGTGGCAGTCATTGGAAAAATGTGTGGGTGCAGTGGCAGTCATTGGAGAAGTGTGTGGGTCCATTGGCAGTTGTTGGAGAAGCATGTGAGTCCACTGGCAGTCATTGGAGAAGCATGTGAGTCTACTGGCAGTCATTGGAGAAGCGTGTGGGTGCAGTGGCAGTCATTGGAGAAGCATGTGAGTCCACTGGCAGTCATTGGAGAAGCATGTGAGTCCACTGGCAGTCATTGGAGAAGCATGTGAGTCCACTGGCAATCGTTAGAGAAGCGTGTGAGTCCACTGGCAGTCATTGGAGAAGTGCGTGGGTGCAGTGGTAGTCGTTGGAGAAGCATGTGGGTGCAGTGGTAGTCGTTGGAGAAGCATGTGGGTGCAGTGGTAGTGGCTCATTGGAGAAGTGTTTGAGTCCACTGGCAGTCATTGGAGAAGCATGTGAGTCCACTGGCAATCGTTAGAGAAGCATGTGAGTCCACTGGCAGTCATTGGAGAAGTGCGTGGGTGCAGTGGTAGTCGTTGGAGAAGCATGTGGGTGCAGTGGTAGTCATTGGAGAAGTGTTTGAGTCCACTGGCAGTCATTGTAGAAGCGGTTGAGTCCACTGACAGTCATTGGAGAAGTGTGTGAGTCCACTGACAGTCATTGGAGAAGTGTGTGAGTCCACTGGCAGTCATTGGAGAAGCGGTTGAGTCCACTGGCAGTCATTGTAGAAGCGGTTGAGTCCACTGACAGTCATTGGAGAAGTGTGTGAGTCCACTGACAGTCATTGGAGAAGTGTGTGAGTCCACTGGCAGTCACTGAAGTAATGTGTGAGTAGGTTGACAGTCTGGAGAAGAAGTGCATGAGCGTCGACAGAGAAATTTGAGGGTCTAGTGGCAGTTAGCAGAGAATTGTGTGGGTATAGTGGCAGTCAGAGAAGAATGAGTGCAATGGTGGTTGAAAGGAAAGTGTATGGTTGCAGTGGCAATCGGTAGCAAAGGGCGCTATGCAGAGTGCATCAAAGCAGTGTCAATGTAAGAATTGTTTGGATGTGGCATTAGTTAGTGAAGTGTGCAGGTACAGATGTGTCATTGTTTACTTTCCTGCTTGTCATGGGCCATTGGGTCTTGTGTAAATGAGGTCACACCAGCACAAATCCCTGTCTCCTTAGCAATATAGTATTAGATTTAGAGCTGTTAATGGAAAAACCACAACATCGCATGTTCACTCTGCACAGCCTTTCGACAAGAACCACAACTCCTGCTGCTAACTTCTCTCTCGTTTTCTTCTTTCTGGATTTAAAAATAAAGAGGATGGGAAAACATACTGTATGTACTTATCTTTATACTTTACTATACTTTAGATTACATACACTATGGGGTTGATTTACTAAAACTGGAGTGTGCAAAATCTGATGCAGCTCTGCATAGAAACCAATCAGCTTCCAGGTTTTATTGTCAAAGCTTCATTGAACAAGCTGAAGTTAGAAGCTGATTGGCTGCCATGGAGCTGTACCAGCTTTTGCACCGTCTAGTCTTAGTAAAGCAGTGGTAAAAGAGGTGCAACCAAAATTAATCCTGCTGATGCCCAGCAGGCGGCCACCTTCCACCCCAGTCCTGAGTGTTTACAACTGAGAACATTGGTGGAAAATGTGTCAAGGCTTTTTTGTGGAGTGATTCTTTCATTTATGGACAATAAAACTCCAGAAGCTGGCAACAGTGTGTGCACACCTTTTCACTTGAATAAATGACAAAGGGGAAAGAGGGTTGGAATTTACTTGTAACTGCAATAAAGCCAACAGCTCCATATGTGATTTCTTTTATTTTAATCTTCATCAGGTATTACATAGGCTGGTAAAATCAAGAGGGAAGTCGCAAGCGAAGCATTTGAACGTACAGATGGTGGCAGCAGATAAACTGGCTCAATGTCCTCCGGTGAGTGCGTGCATTTCTGCCAACTATAGCCAAAGGAGTCGATCTCAACTACTGTGACAAGGATTCATCCTGGAATCTCCAGAAGTAAACAAAGTTGCACACTGTTGAAGTCAACCTCAGTAGTAAAAATCTCTTCCCATAGGACATGCCCCTCTGACATGTTTCACCCTGCAAGGGCCTAATCGTAGAGGTTAGAGTTACAACCTGCTCAATACACAAACACAATCTGCACCCCAAAAATTCCCTCCTATATATTCCCCAAAGAAAGGTATTTGTTGAACTATTTCACAACTGGAATAATCAACAGCCTTATGTACACAAGCGTTACTCTACTAATGCAGTGTGTCTGAGCAATAGCTGGCTGCTGTGGAGGTTCCACAATGAGTTTCAGAAGTGCGCTCTTAAATATTTTGTGGAAGTAAAGTTCTGCCCATGACTATTTTTATGTTCTTCCTTGTAATGCACCCTTATTTATTCAATCAAACAGTTGCCAAGCAAAATCCATGAAAAATACCTTTATTTATTTATTTATTTATTTATTTATTACAGGTACTTGTATAGTTCCGTCAATGTAGGCAGCGCTTTACATATATTTTACATTCACATCAGTCCCTGGCCTCAAGGAGCTTACAATCTAAGGCATTCATAATGTGCAAGCTGTGGATTTCCATAAACAAATACTGTCTTCTTTTATATTACACTTTCCATACCCAGTTCAAAAGGTCTAAAACTTTCAGTAGTCCTTCAACATGCTTAAAGTATAACTAAATGTGATGTAAATATATACAATGTATATACTGTATACATAAAGTGCTGTGTAAATTGACAGTGCTATATAAGTACCTGTAATAAATAATAAATAAAGGCAAAACTTTTTTTTTTTTAGGTTTGGACACAGTGGAGATGATTGGAACCCCTGTTATGTTTTTATTTCAATCTGTGCCCCCGTTAGGGAGGTTCCCCCTCTCTATTTGTCCTGTTTACCGTTATCATCGATAGTGAAAGTAAATGAAAATCCGTAATTTTGGGTTGTCACCAGAAATTTTTCAATGGGGACAATAGTTCTGGTGACCTGGTGGTTCCCAAGGCATTCTCTTAATTTGCAGGGATTTTTTTCTCACTTCTTGTTTGGCTATGGAACAGAAAATAAGACTAGGTTTACATATGTGCGGGTGGTGCGGCTGCGGATCCGCACGAAAATCCGTGCAGCTGCACCACCCACACAGAAGAATGCGGACCTGTGGGCGGGTGCCATTACTTCTAATGGCACGCCGCCCGCACTGGAAAGCGCAACCCTACTGGGAACCAAGGTTCCCATGTGCACTGCGTTTTTAGAAGAAGTGCAGGGACTTCTTGCCTGCATGTCACGGGGGACGGGAGTCCATTCACATGAATGGGATCTCATGCCCGCGCAAAACGTGGCCCGCACGGCGCATATATGTGAACCAGGGCTAAAGGTAAATCTCCCCAGTGGGACACAGATGGCAAAAACAATCTGACAGGAGTTATAACCTTCCATTACTCTTTCTAAAATGAAAAAAAAAGAAGTTTTGCCTCTAATTCTACTTTAACCCTGGTTCACATATATGCAGCCGTGCGGGCTGCGTTTTGCGTAGGCACAAATGGACTCCCGTGCCCCGGGACACGCAGGGAAGAAGTCCCTGCACTTCTTCGGAAAATGCAGCCCGCATGGAAAACGAGGATCCCAGTACGGTTGCGATTTCCAGTGTGGGCAGCATGCCATTAGAATTAATGGCGCCCACCCGTGGGTTCGCATTCCTCTGTGTGGGTGGTGTGACTGCACGTATTGTTGTGCGGATCCGCAGCGGCACCACCCGCACATATGTGAACCTGGCGTAAAGATTTAATTTGAACAATTCCTAACAGTTTTGCCATTTATGGCATACAGGGCATACTGAACACCTTCCATGCAGTGTAGGCAGGACAAGATGCAGCTGTGGACATGAAGGATACATATCATTTAGGACTGAGTTCTACACCTGTGCAGTAACGACCATCATTCCAGTTGGTTTCAGTGAACCTTACTACATCTGGGTATGCAAACATACCTTAGATCAGGGGTCTCCAAACTATGACCATCCAGCTGTTGCAGTACAGCAAGTCCCATCATGCCTCTGCCTCTGGGAGTCTTGCCTGTGGCTGTCAGAGTCTTGCAAGGCCTCATGGGACTTGCAGTTCCTCAACACCTGGAGGGCCATAGTTTGGAGACCCCTGCTTTAGATGATTTTTGTTCAATCTGTGGGCTGAATGAAAATATTCTAACAGATTCCCACATCCAGGCCATACAGAATGTCATCAGAAATGTCTATTGTATTCTGATGGCCGCAGGTGGTGCCTGTCAGAATAGCCAAATTGGCCAAAATTTGTATAGTGTGTACCTAGGTTTAGGTCCCATCTTAGTACCACACATTATTCAATTTTAGGTTTAGTAAAAAGGGACTGTACTTACTATCAACACAAAGTGTCCCTTGTTGTGCTTTAGTTGAAATCCTGTCTTCTCACCTCCACCCCTCCCTACCTTTCCAATTGTAATCTTCTGGTGTTGCCGAGATTATTAGAGCCAAGGGATTGGTAACAGGCATTCATCAGGAGTCCCAATTATGCTCACCCTTTCACCTACCTCCTCCATTCTATAGCTTCCATGAATGAAAAGCCATCTATGAATTTTTTTAAAATGTTTTACTAAACTTATCCTTTAAGAAATAGAGGGAGTAAGAATGGATTGTTCTTCTCAAGTCAATTGCAGACGCTGTCATGTTGTCAGGCTACTTCCCTTTGTCAAGGTTGTTTAGTGGGACCCCTTTCCTGCTTGCACCTAAAGTAGGTGGTGGTTTTCTGTAGGTGGTTTCACAATTGTAAAAAAGGACATAGTTTCTGGACCGTAACTATGTGTGATAAGTCCGCATGCCAAACTAATAAAGGTCGTTTAAAATTGCCATTACAAAGCCATACCTACAGTGACACAGTTTTTTTATAAGAATATACAAAGATTCTCAAATTGTATATACAGTACATTAATGTTCTCTAAATGTGTTTTCCGGACATCTCTGGGCCCCACAGCAGTCACATGACCTGCTATCGTTATGCCCTTGAATGGTGCCAAGAGAGAACACTGTGCAAAATGTAACCAAGACATACCACTGAACACCTGATCACCATACATAAAACTGCAAGGTATAATTTAATAATCCCTTTTGTGTCCACAGGAAATGTTTGATATCATCCTGGATGAGAACCAACTGGAGGATGCCTGCGAACACCTGGCAGAATATTTAGAAGCCTACTGGAAGGCCACGCACCCACCAAGCATCAACCCACCCAACCCACTACTGAACCGCACCCTTGCCACCGCAGCACTAGCTTCCAGCCCAGCCCCTGTCTCCAATCTACAGGTGCAAGTGCTCACCTCACTGAAAGAGAACCTGGGATGGTGGGGAGGTCGTGGGGAATCAGGGTCAATAACCAAGATCGATGAACATGCTGTGTAGTTCTGGGGAACAGAAATATACACGTAGAGACCAGCAGGAAATATATCTTTTACTGCCTTGACATAGCAGCCCTTCTACCTTACAGAAAAAACACCTAAAAAGCAGTATTAGTATTCATTTGCAAATCTTCATATCTGCAAATGGTGAAATGTTTACAAACCATGTACTGCTGTCACAAAAGATTATTAATACCCTTTGGATAACACAAGAGTACAGAACTCTTTGTTTTGAAACAGTTACTAAGTAAGGCAACTGTTATAGAGAACAGAAGAAATTAAACGTAAGATGCGTGCAGTAGGGTACACTTCCTGTCACTTGCGTCAGTTAGCGGAGAAGAGTTTTTTTAGGAAACACAAATGTCTGTAGACATGTAAACTGTAACAGGAGGCTAGAAAAATGACACTTTGCTAGTATTTGTATATGCTATCGCAAAATGATAAAAACCTGACTGTGACTCTTAAGCTCGGTTCACACTACTGCGACCTGAAAGTCGTGAGACTTACCGTGCAACTATGCCAGGTGACTTCCTAGCAATTTGCTTGCAACTTGAGCACGACTTTGATGGGAATTGATGTACGACTTTCATGCTATGCAACTTTGCCTGGGTAATCTTCCTGTAATGTTGGATTCAAATCACATCAATATAAATGAGGATCCAACTTGGAGGTGACTTCCATTAAAGTCTATGGGCACAAGTTGGATAGATGTCGCCTTGAAGTAGTATAGGAGCCTTTTCTAAAGTCGAAGCGACTTCAGTAGTGCTAATTAAGACAGCCTTTATTGACTGACATGGGATTTCACATGTCATTCGACTTGGGGGCTCACAAGTCGGATCTCAAGTCGCGGCAGTGTGAACCGAGCCTTAGACTCACTATAAGACTAACGTATGCCTCTGATGCAGCTGGTGGTATACTGGAGAAACCAGCCAGGCTGTGTGCTATGTCCACATCTATTCCCAGCATGGGCTTCCTTTGGACTTGACATTATATGGTCTCTGATAGGTAGATGGCATTTTCATTGCAATTTGGACTGTGGTAAGCTCACTTTTGTAGCATGGACATTAGACTTTAAGCTTCTGTTTGGAGGCACACCTATTTACTACCTCTGGGCACAGACTACCTACAAAATATTATTGGTGGCCGGTTGGCCCAGTAGGTCTGTCGTGTTCTTACATTGGAAACAAACACATGCCAAGGGTACCCGGTAACCAGTTGATCCCCGGTATTGGAGGTGTCTCCAGGATTGCATGCACCCTTTTTTTTTTTTTTCCATCAGTCAGTGTTGTTTAGCAATGAACCATGGATTCAAGTACAAGAGAGTAATATTATTTTAGTGTATTACAAATGAGATCACTATGGAGGATTTGCCTTTTATGTTACAAAGCACATATTCAGCAATTGCCCAGCCTTATATTCAGAGTCCAGCCCTATGCATTTTATGCATTGAACCGGACTATTCTTATATGGAATGTAGATTGGTATTTTGAATGGAGGTCCCATTATCCTGATATACTGTATATTGTGATACATATTTATTGGACTGGACAACATTTCTTTCAGAGACACTTTGTCCAGCTTAGCAGGAGGCTGTTCTCTGAGCTTTATTTTGAGTCCAAACACTTTAATTCCATATACTGATGGGAGCAGGATAGACAACCAGCAGGGTGTTGGCTTTATTTTTATTTTCAATCACTTGGCCAAGTTTTTCTAACATGTTATTATAAGGTTTATTAATGTTAATAAAAAAAGTTTGTTTTTTTTGTATGAGCATCACAGGCATTGGGTATGTTCCTTATATTTATTGAAGTAGTATATGTTTGTATGTAGAGTGGGAGTTTTAGAGTCACAGTCAGGTTTTTATTGTTTTTGCGTTAGCTTATCGCCATTATACCGGAGTCTCCTCCACTCCACTTATACATAAAACCTCGGCATTTGCTGTTTTTGGGGTACCTTTAGGTTTTAAGCCAGTGTTTTTTGAGCTTAGGATTTGTATTTAAAAACTAGACATACAAAAGAATCAGTGCAGCTGGACAGAGTAGCCTGTTCTCAGATTAACACTTACTGATTATAGGTCCCCCGTGTCTCTAAGGCAGTGTTTCTCAACTCCAGTCCTCATGGACCCCCAACAGGTCATGTTTTCAGGATTTCCCTCAGATGAAACAGCTGTGGTAATTACTAAGGCAGTGAAACTGATCAAATCACCTGTGCAAAATAATGGAAATCCTGAAAACATGACCTGTTGGGGGTCCATGAGGACTGGAGTTGAGAAACACTGCTCTAAGGCCTCATGCACACAGGACATTAAAAAAAAAACTCTCCTAGAAGCTGTCCTCCCGGAAGCAGCGTCTTTGTAGAAAAAAATGCCCAATGCTTGTAAAAGTATCTAACGCTTTTGATAGCATTTAGGTGCATTTACAAGCGTCAAGCACTTGAGCATTCATTTATTTAATTGATTATATTGATAATTTATTTTGGCCATTGAAATTAATTCACAGTCAAGCGCTAAACACACCTAGCATTTAGCCGCGTCAAGCGTTTTTTTCTGCCAAAACGCTGCTGCTCCTGGCCCTAGGGATTTTGTTTCCTGCTGGTAAATGCTACTGCTACTAAAAGCTTCCAAAAGTCTGCGTGTGTGTGTGTGGACACTTAGTATACATGGAGGGAAGCTGGTTGGTTTCCGTCTGGAAGCAGTAGAAAAAAAAAAAAACCGCCTGACACCCCTAAACGTGGCTGTAAAAACGCGCTGCGTGCATGAGGCCTAAAGCTAGGTTCACATAGATAGAAATTTGGCCAGTCCAGCAGGGACTGGACAAATTTCAATCTGTCTTAGCCCACCCCAGGGGCGGACTGACCATTCGAGCACTTGGGCACTGCCCGAGGGCCCTGGGTCAGTAGGGGGCCCCATGAAATGCCCCTGATACCTTTTTTATAGGCTTTTTTGAGTGTGGGCAAGGACACAGGGGCCCCATGATCCCCTATTGCCCGGGGCCCCATGAGTTGTCAGTCCGCCCCTGGCCCACCCTGTTCCACAGATGGCTATCATTAGATCGGCTTCTGTCGAACTGTCTTGGAAAACCTTGTTCAATCAGTGGCTCGCAGCCAATCAGCTGCAGTGCTGATCAGTGTATTCTGACAGTGGAGAGTCCCTGCTGTCAGAATACAATGTTGTGGTGGGAGGGATTTTTTGCTTCCACCTCGCTTGTGTGGATGTGGGAATCTGTTTTTTTTTTTTTTTTTCAGCCAGCTGGCTGAGCAAAAAAAACTAACTGTATATACTCAGCTTAATAATCAGGCACACATTCAAGAATGAAATAAAAACAGGCACTGTCAATGATCATAGCTCTTCACAATGTCATAGATAAACAGGTCTGAAATGTATGATGTATGGAAGATCCCCCCATTCTGCTCTTAGTAAGGTCTGCTGTCAATCATTAAGATGTCAAGGAGAAGGTGGGCAAAGATGCAATGTCTGTCAATTTGTTATGGCGTCGGACACTAAACTGAATATGAGCTGCTCTCCTATTGCAAAAAATGTTTAAAAAAGGGGCGATTGGGTGTATTTATAGATATGGAGCTGCTCTTTGATGTAGAATTCAGGATTTAGTATGTAACAGCAAGAAGACGTGCCTTTGTATTTTGTAGAGGACTTACTACTGCATACATTTTTGGTTCTGTTCAAATGCATTATCTCCTTATCCCTTTACCTGTTACTGTAAGTCCTCATGCACACTGGATGTTTTTACAGCGGCTGTTTTTGGCTTTTGATGGTTTTTTCTACAGCTAGTAAACCCCCCAGCATGTTATCCTATGTGTCCATGCGCACAGACTGTAATCAGCATTTTTGGCTGGGACTTTCTTTGGCTGTAAAAAAAAAACCCCCAGAACTAGTAGGTTTCTAGAGTTTTTTAGCTCTAAAAATGCTCTAATGCTGAAAAAAACGCAGCAAAATGCGGTAAAATGGCGCAAACCAGCATTTTTGGAGTTTTTTTACCCCCCAAAAAATATTTTTTTGGTAAAAAAAAAAAACCCTAAAAAATTCAAACATGGAAAAACGCCGCTAAACGATAATGCAAAAACGCTAAAAAAGCTGAAAAACTCACGTTTTTAACATGACTTTACACAGCTAATGTTACCAGCGTTAACAAAACCTCCCGTGTGCATGAGGACTAAAACCTCAGGACATTACATCCATCCCTCCTCTCTTTCATACAGTCTGTACGTTGTTTTAATTAAGGTTTCACCTGCTATCTATTATCCATGTTGTATTGTTTTTCATTCATCATTTGTGCCTTATTTATGCATTTTGTGTGATCATTATAAAGAGGTCTACTCAGTATGGAATCATTGAGAGAGGCCCGGGGGTGAGCATGCTGTGCTCTCTGATCTGCAGTTCCCCTGATTTACGCTTCACCTTTGTGCTACTCTTGGTCCTGTTTTCCTCCAACACCCTCTATCTGTCTTACCTATTGAAGACTTGAGTAACCTTCAACGCCTAGGCAGAGAAAGATGGAGGAGGATGGGATCCTGTAGTGCACACGGGTGAGACGTAAAACGTCCACACTACACCCTCCCTATCCCCTGCACTAAAACTATTGATAATTTAATAAATCAGTCCAAAATTAAAGATGATTCTATGTTGTTTTTCCATTGTAATGGAATCACGCTTTATTAGGGTTAGTGACCCATGCTCCATGGCTTGTCCACATTGGCTCCTGTGGTGACCTAATACTAAGGCATTATGTTTTTACAGTGCTATAGACAGGACTTGCTGATCCAGTTCAGCCAGCTGACTACATCATCAACCACTGCAGCTTTTTTAAAGGCAAATTTGTCTTTATTATAATTTAACAGAACAAAACAGTAGAAATAATGATAACATGTACAGATAAATGAACATGCAGATAT